TGGGGGAACCGCGTACTGATGAGGGCAGAGGCAGGAATGGAGAGGAGGGAGGAGGGAGGAGGGAGGAGGGAGAGGAGGGCGGGAGGTGAGGGGACGCGGGGCGCCGTCTCTTCAAAACGAGGGCCCAAACACACCAGGATGGTTGGGAAAAGGAGGAAGTGTACAATGCATTCCAAACCTGCTTTGCTGTTTGTTGGATTCAAGGTTTCTCAAATCGGCTACGTGTTCCTGAATGTGTCTGTCTTTGGCACTCTTGGCGCCATTTTGGAGCGGTTTTGGATTGTCTTGGGCAGCCAGGCAGCCATCCTGAGGTGGTCGGGAGCTGCCTTTGGGACTGTTTGGTGGCGGCTTGGGGGCGTCCTGTGCCGTCTTGGACCCTCTCAAGAGGCGTCGTCGAGGACATAGGAAGAGATTTGTGTTCGAATAAGTAGCAGAAAAGGTCAGAGTGAGGGGGCCGAACGGTCATTCACTGTCTCTGGGTGCGTGACTGAGAAGTGGAGTTTCGCGGTGCGGATTGTTGTTGAATTCTCATTTCCCAAGCGTAATTATTGATGATCCCCCCTTCGGCGACCAGTGCGTTTTTCAATTGAAGTGCTCGTCCCGGGGCTCGCACCTTGTTCTTCACAAGGGAAAGTTTGGGGTCACCAAACGGACCCCCAGACCCTTGAGTCAAAGCAACAACGGTTCCCGCCTGATACTTCCTCACAGTGTATTCCAACATCGCGCTATCGCGAGAGACGCTCTCACACTCTATGCAGGAATCGCGCTCTCGCGCGGGACTTCCTCGCAATGTATTCAAACGCCGCGCCCTCGACGCTCAGGAATCGCGCGTTTGCTTTGGCCTTTCTCACTGTTCACTTTGGAATCGCGCTAACGCTCGATACATCCTCGCGATTCATGAAGTGTTCACGCCTCAGCCCGCCTGCTCGACCTGGCCGTTTGGGCCCTGGTTCTGCCACGTGTTTTCTGCTCCTAGCCCCCCGCTCTGCCAATCTCTCCCGTGCTCCATCCTTCTCCCTTCCCCTTCCATTCGTCCTGTCTTCCCGTAATACAGGGGCTGCACTCAGTGCACGTGGCAGGTAAGGATAATAGACCCCCAAGGGGGTAAGATCGAAGACGAAGAGGGCGGTTATCGAGGGTTTGGGTTGACGTGTTGAATGCCACGCGAGCAGATAAGAGCGCTCAGTCTTAAACTGATTGTTGTTGCGTTCCTGTTTCCAAAACATAATTTCTGTTGACCCCCCCTTCTTGTGACCATGGCATCGTTTCAATTAAAGTTTTCCTCTGGGGGCTCTTTCCCAGTTTCTTATCAGGGAAGGTTTGGGGTCACCGAATTTTATTGTTGGCCCCTGGTTTACAACAACAGCGGCTCCCACCAGATACGTCCTCACAAGGTATTCCAATATTGTGTTCTCGCGCGGGATTTGCTCACAATTTATGCAGGAATCGCGCTCTCGGGTGGGACTTCCGCGCGATTTATGCAGACGCCGCGCCCTCGACACTCAGGAATCATGCTCTCGCTTTGGCCTTTCTCACGACTTACTTGGGAATCGCGTTGTCGTTTGAGACCTCGCGATCCATGCAGGATTCACGCCTCAGCAACCCGCCTGCTCGACCTGGCCGCGTGGGCTCGCCTTCCCGACTCTCTTGCTGGGGTCTGCCCGCCCGATCTGTCCGTATGGTTAGGCCACGTGTTTTCTGCTCCTAGCCCTTCTCCTAATTTCTTCCTCGCTCCATCTTTCTCCTTCCCCCTTCCATCAGTGCTCTCTTCCCCTGGTTTATGGGTTGCACTACATGCGCATGACATGTAAGGGAGATGTACTCCAAGGGGGTGCGATCGAATACAAAGAGGGCGGGTACCCAAGATTGGGGTCTACGTTTTGAATGGCAAGCGAGCAGATAAGAGCGACCAATCTTAAACTGTTTGTTGCTATTGTTTGTTTGTTTGTTGTTTATTGTTGTCGTCGTCCCACTCGCGACCCGGCCCGCGACCCATCCGCGACCCTCCCGCGACCTACCCGCGACCCACCCGCGACCCACCCGCGACCCAGCCGCGACCCACCCGCGACCCACCCGCAACCCACCCCGCGCCCGCCCCCGCACTCTGATCCGCAACGGTACTTTCTAAAAGTGAAGTGAATGTCGTTGGTAGTGTTTTTTTGTTGATCGCATGTCGACATATCGGATGCGCGCGCACGCACGCGCACACGCGCACGCGCGTGCCCGCGCGCGCACGCGCGTGCACGCGCTCATAATCAAAATGTTAGTCGTGAAACGTTTGATCGCGTTTTCGCGTGTCCGAAGCCCTTACGCACGTCCTCGAACACGCATGCGCGCGCGCACGCGCACGCGCTCAGGATCGGGCTCGGGCTCGTGCTCGGGCTCGGTCTCAAGTTTGCGCTCGTGCTCGGGCTCGGGCTCGGCCTCGAGCTTGTGCTCGAGCTCGGGGTCGGGTTCGGTTCCGGTCGGGCATGCACGCGCGCACGCGTACGCGAACTACACCCTTTTGAAAACGAGGCGCGATCTCAATTCTAGCACCCCCACCCCCGGGCTCCGTCCCATCCGCTGCCCTAAGTTCGATTTATTTGATGTAAGACCCAAGCGGGGTGATGCTCCATCGCCCAATTCGTGCGAGGGAAGGTGGTTTCCGCAGCTTATGCAAACAAAAGGATGGCTTCCAGCACCCGCTTTTTGCAAGGGCAGTGGTTTCAGCAGCGGCGTGGGCTCCAGCACGCAGTTTTTACGAGGGGAAGTCGTTCCAGCAGATTGTGCCTGCACGAAGGATGGGCTGTCGTCTGAGGGGGCAGCTAGAGCGACCCGCGCCCCAGCCACGAACCCACCCACAGTCCGTCAGACATTTCGCTAGGAAGTTATTCACTTCATTTTATGACCACATTCGAGACCATCCCTGCCCGTCATGGGCCGTCTCGGTCAGTTTTGGGAGCGCTTCATGGGATCTGAGGTACCTTCTGGAATCGTTTCAAGCTGTCTTGGCCAGCCCGGCCGTGGGCCGTCGGGCGGGGAGGTATTTTTATTTTGGGTCTTCGGACGTCGTCCGTATTCGGAGTGATGTGCGGGTTTCATGCACCGGGCGGAAGTGCTGCTGGAGTGAGCATTTGGAGAGGTCGAAGCTTTCTTTCGCTGTTTCCCTGTTCATCTTGAGGTGCAGTGCTGCCGAGGAGTATGCCCCTATGAGCTCGGGCCGTGAGGAGGTACCTCCTCCTATTGTCTACGTCGGGCGCCTGGATTTCGTGGGGTGGCCGTGGCCCAGCGACAGCTCGGTTGCCTTTTGGTCTCCTCGTGGCTCCATCGTGCGTGTGAGTGGAGAACACCTTTCGCTTACGTGGCTGAGCTTTATGTGCCCGTCGAGTCCAAGCGGCGCCGAACACGAACAGTACCCTTTGAACTGGTGTGGGCCACTGCCCGTGGCTCCCTCCTGTTTGTGGTGCTGCTGCGGGGCGAGAGCTTCCGATTCGGTGGGCTCCGGCCCTGTGGGTTCCCCGCCCTTTCAGACACGTCGTGGCGATGACTCAAGCCCGTGCGACTTCTGCTGCGGACTGGAGCTGCCAAGCGAACTCCCGCTCCGAGGGATCTCGATCAAGTACTTTGGGGTTCGATTCTGACATCTTCGGTTGGGTTGGAGTTCGTTCGTGGCCCCGTCGTGTGTGCGTGGATCTCAGTGGGGAAGGCAGGGAGCGCCTCTCGATTCTGTCGGTTGCGGCCCCCTTTTGGCTTCACGGCAGCGCCTCTAGGATGCAAGGGCCTTGGAAGGCCATGCTCATGTTTTTCGAACGGGGTTGGCCAGCGAAAGTCGCTAAGGATGGGCCGACGGGGAAGGATGCAAGGGTACCCTTGGGAAGGTTGCCCATCCATACCATGCGGGTTGACTGTACCTCCTCCCTCCTCCTCCATCCCTTGTCCTCATGGACAGCTCTTCCCTGTCGTGCCCCCAGACGTGTTGGTAGGGCGGACTGGGCGTTTCGCCTGAGGCTTTCTCACCGTTGCTATCCTGACGCTTGACACTCGCAGCGGTTTCACGGACGGAGGCCGGGTCGTTTTCGAGAGGGGGCTCTCGCAGGAGCAGGGGGAGGACGTGCAGCCCCCCTCTTCCCCTCTCCGCGTCCATCCATCTTCCTCAGAACTGATACCTCTGTGTCTCACCACCGGACGTGGCCTTCGGCCGGGCCAAGTGGTTCGCGCTGAAGGCTGCCTGCCGCTCTGCGGTCTCGAAGTCTGCACCGTCCAGCAGCTGCACGGGCGGAGGGGGTGGTCTTTTTCCAGCCGGGGGCTCTCGCCTGAGCCCTGCGCACACTCGTGTCAGGTGTGGCAGCAGCTCCAGAGACAGAGGCCGCGTCCTTCTCCAGCTGAGGATCTCGCTTCGGCGCCGCGCGCATTCCTGATAAAAGTTTGCAGCAGTCATGAAGACGGTGGCCAGGTCCTTTTCGACATGAGGATCTCGCCGAGCGGCGCGGCGGATTCGTTTTCAAAGGCGGATGGGGGTCGGGCCGTGGTCAGAATGCGGCTTTGGGGCAAGATGTCTTGGGCCGTTCTTTGGACCAGTGCAAGACTTTGCAACATTTACACGGTCGGAGGGCGGTCCGTTTTTCGGTAATGGGGTTCCCGCGTGTGACTTCGTGGGCTAAATTACCACAAGTGCCACGATGTGCAAGAATTGCACGGATGGGCGGCGACTCTTTCTCAAAATGGATCTCTCGCCTGAGGCTTCCTCCTATCTGGCGACCAGGGGCTTGATCTTATGTAGCAGCTGCGCGGATTGAGTGTAGTCCCTTTCTACATGGAGCTCTCAATTGTAATCTTGCGCACCAGTTGAACGGATGGGAGCGGCTAAAGGAGGCTCTCGCTGGACGTGCGTTGGAGTTTTTGATCCAAGCCTGCCGCATTTCTCATGAGTCTTCCTTCCCGTCCTCCCTCCTCCTCGTCTTCCCCTCTCCTCCCCCAGCTCCTCCCATCCCCACTCCCCCACCCCCGCCGTGCTGCAGGTGCAGAAGGCCACCGGGGAGATCCGGGCCATGCACGAGACGTGCCTCGGGGGCGGCAGCGTCGTGGCCCCGCGGTCGCAGGCGACGCTGCGCAGCCTCGGCTCCCTTTGGGAGGAGGAGGAGGAGGAGGAGGAGGAGGAGGAGGAGGAGGAGGAGGAGGCTGATGATGATGCTGCTGATGATGTTGATGCTGATGCTGATGATGCTGATGATGATGATGATGATGATGATGATGATGATGATGATGATGATGATGATGATGTGGATGATGATGATGATGATGATGATGATGATGATGATGATGATGATGCTGCTGATGATGATGATGATGATGTTGATGTTGATGATGTTGATGATGATGATGATGATGATGATGATGATGATGATGATGGTGATGATGCTGATGATGATGCTGATGATGCTGCTGCTGCTGATGATGATGGTGGTGATGATGATGATGATGATGATGACGATGACGGACCACATTGTGATGTTGCCTCGGGCGAGTCGCTGGTTTCAGCACTCTCCAGAGGGGGGCGGCAGAGGGTGGATCTCACGGGCCCGTTCGCGCCCAGATTGTGGCGATGTCTCAGGCAGTTTGGCGGCTTGGCTGGTTGCTCAACGTCTGTCGCTTTCGGGGCAGTTCGGGGAGATGCCTCAGGCGGGGCGCTGGTTTCAGCACTCCTGGGGAGGGGGGGGGGGCGCGCCAGGGGGTATCTCGCGTGCTCGTTCGCGCCCAGACAGTGGTCATGTTTCGGGTGGTTTGCCGGGTCTCAGCGCTTTTCGCTTCCAGATCGGATTTCGAAGCTGTCTCTCGCGAGGCGCTGGTTTTTGTACCCCAGAGGGCCCAGATTGAGAGGATGCCTCGAGCGGTTTGCTTGCTTTGATGGCCAGATTCGCTTGATATTAGAACAGATTTTGAGGATGTCTCGGGCGAAGCGCTGTCTTCCGCACCCGTAATGGGGAGGGGGCGGCCAGGGAGTATCTCACTCATCCGTTCGCGCCCAGATGGCGGGGATGTCTCGAGCGGTTTGCTTGTTTACCAACCCGATACCTTTTGCGTTCGGGTGCCCAGATTCCGAGGCTGTCTCGAGCGGCTTGCTTGTATCAGATGTTGCCCCTCCCGTTTGGCTCCGATTCTGAGTGCTTACCTTATGTTCCGATATATTGGGCCTCTCCTGGGACACACTCCTTTTTTGTTTATTTACGTATGTTCCTATATTTTCCTTCTTTCCTGTAGCTCCAATCCTAAGTGTTTCACGCACGTTCACACATATATATAGATATATATGTAATAAACACATGTATATATAGATATGTATACATGTGTCTATTACATATATACACATTTATATGTATATCTATATATACATATACACATTATATATACACTATATGTATTGGGCCTTTCCACCAGAAGGCCCCAAGAGGCCACAAGAGGTTCCAGGAGTCCCCGACCCCATGAGGCCCCAGGAGGCCCCAGGAGGCCCCAGGAGGCCCAAGGAGGCTCCAGGAATGGTTCCTATCCTATGTGTTTTACGTATGCTCCTATGTATTGGGCTTCTCCTGGAGCAAGATGTATTGCCCTGCTCCTGTGACTCCAATCCTATGTGTTTTCCCAATGCTCCGATATATTGGACTTGTCTGGTGGCAAGAATCCTTCGTGTTTCACGTCTGTTCCTATATATTGCCCTTGTCCTGTGGCTCCAACCCCAAGTGTTTTACGTATGCTCCTAACGATCGGGCCTCTCCTCTCTGTGGCGTGGCTGGGTGTCTCACGGTCCAGCCACTGCGTGAGACCTTCTGGGCCAGCCAAAGATGCGCATGGGTTTTGCACGGCGTTTGCATGAACACCCCTATTCCTTGCTTCGGCATGGAGGGAGGGATCGCGTATCCATTTCGACCCAGTAACGCCCAATCATGATCAGGTCATTGACGCGCAGATACACCCATCCGAAGCTTAGACATACTCATACCCATGCGCATAGACTCACTCGCGCTACTGAAACGTTTTCATACTCCAAGCCATTCGCAGTTATATTCGCTCCCAGTCTGTCACTGCTCAAGCTCGTTTATATTCGAAAACTCTTGCGCCTAGACACTCACGGCGGAAAGGTCCATGCAAGTAGATGCCCACATGGGGAGTTCCACGCAGTGAGTACTTGTTGTTTAGCGTCAGGGTCATAAGTGGTGAGGAGGTCTCAGGCGAAAAGCCCGGCCCGCCCTTTCGACGGGCCTCGGGGTGCGACAGGGATGAATTGCTCATATGGAAAATGAATGGAGGAGGGGGTGGAAGAGGAGGAGGAGGAGGAGGAAGAGGAGGAGGAGGAGGAAAAGGAGGAAGAGAAGGAGGAGGACCAGTGCAAACGCAAGACTCATCAACAATGTTGGAATAACCCCTCCCTCCAAGCTCCCTCTTCATAGGCCCCTGTAAGAGCTCATTTCCATTGAGGGAACTGCCCCGTTGGGAAACAACTGTTTGAAGACCCTCAAGCGTGTCATTACAACATTATCGGGACCCCAACGGCACGAATCAACATGTCTATTGCGTCTTAACGATCCCGAATCGTGCCATAACACCATTCCTGTGGCTTCAACACCGCGAATCAACTTAACTGTTGCACCCTCACAATCCTGAGTCTTTCCTGAACGCCACTGCTGGCACGTTGACCATGGGAAGCCGTGGAATTCGCGCAAATGCTTAAGACGAGTGTGCGCGGCGCTACGGCGGGAGCCACATATTGAAAATGTTAGCCCTCAATCCGTGAAGCTCGTGCTAATTAGAAAAACGAATGTGCGCGGCGCTGAGGCGAGAGCCACATTCTGAAAACCACCCGCCCTCAATACGTGAAATCCTGGCATTTTTTTGCACGAGTGTGCGCGGCGCTCAGGCGATAACCACATTTTGAAAACGAGCTGCCGGCAATCCGTGAAGCTTCTGCGCATTCTTAAAAGGAATGTGCGCGGCGCAAAAGCGAGAGCCAAATTTTGAAAACGATCCGCACTCAATCAGTGAAAGTCTTGCACATTTTTCGAACGAGTATGCGCGGCGCCAAGGCGAAAACCACATTTTGGAAACCATCCGCCCTCCATCTGTGAAAGCGAATTCCAATTTTTCAGCTTCCGGGGCATAAGTGGTGAGGAAATGTCAGGCGAAACGCGAGGCCCGCCGTTTCGACCGGCCTCGGGGTGCGACAGGGAGGAGTCAATTATATGGAAAAGGAAGCGAGAATGGGTAGGAGGAGGAGGAGGAGGAAGAGGAGGAGGATGAGGAGGAGGAGGAAGAGGCGGATGATGATGATGATGATGATGATGATGATGATGATGATGATGATGATGATGATGATGATGATGCTGATGATGATGGCGATGATGATCATGATGATGATCATGATGCTGATAATGCTGCTGATGATGATGCTGATGATACTGATGATGATGCTGATAATGAGGCTGATGATGATGGTGATGATGATGATGCAGCTGATTATGATGACGATGATGATGACGATGATGATGTTACATGATGCTGCTGCTGATGATGATGCTGATGATGATGATGCTGATGATGCTGATGATGACGACGACGACGATGATGATGCTGATGATGATGATGATGATGATGATGATGATGATGATGATGATGATGATGATGATGATGATGATGATGATGATGATGATGATGATGATGATGATGATGATGATGATGATGATGATGATGATGATGATGATGATGATGATGATGATGATGATGATGATGATGATGATGATGATGATGATGATGATGATGATGATGATGATGATGATGATGATGATGATGATGATGATGATGATGATGATGATGATGATGATGATGATGAGGAGAGAGGAGGAGGAGGAGGAGGAGGAGGAGGAGGAGGAGGAGGAGGAGGAGGAGGAGGAGGAGGAGGAGGAGGAGGAGGAGGAGGAGGAGGAGGAGGAGGAGGAGGAGGAGGAGGAGGAGGACGAGGGAGGAGGAGGAGGAGGAGGAGGAGGAGGAGGACGAGGAGGAGGAGGAGGAGGAGGAGGAGGAGGAGGGGAGGGCCCCTCAGATCCTCCTCTTCCCCTCACCCTCCTCTTCCTCCTCTTCTCCTCTTCCTTCTCTCCTCCCTCGTCCTCCTTCTCTTCCTTCTCCTCTCCATCCTCTTCCTTCTTCTGAGGGAAACGGGTCCAGGAGGTTCTCGCTGTTTTCGGGTCTCACACCCTCCTCTTCCCCCTCCTTCTCCCTTGGCCTGTGCGCAGGCCCAAGAGAGCTCCTGGGCAGGACCTCGCAAGCGTCTGGGCAGTGCTTCCCAGGCCCTGGGCAGCTCCCAGGCAGGGCCCCTATGGTGCTGCGCTTCCCAGCTGGCGCAGCCCTGCTGCCGTGCCCCTGGGGGGGCCTGCCGCCCTGGGCCTCCCTCGGTCGGCCGCCGTCTCCCGTGCAGGCCTGGTCGGCCGACGAGGCGCTGGAGGTGCTGCGGCAGCTGGGCAGGGCCAAGGCGGAGCGGCTCGGGCGCCTGCTGCACGACGCCGGTGCCGCAGTCGCCCTCGGCCGCGCGTCCTGCCAGGGGCAGCGATGGGGGGATGTGAAGCCAAGGCACTTCGGGCTCGGAAGGGGCTCGTCGCCGTTCCTGAGGTCCTCCAACGGTCATTCTTGACGCTTCGCGTATCCCCACCAGGCGCCTAGTCGCGGCCCGACTGGTGTTCGGACGGCTTTCGACCTGCTTCGCGAGCCCGCAGACCAAAAAGTATCCCCACCAGGCCATCCCAAACCAGTCATCAGGCGAATTGCCCTGATCATGGGCGAGTAGCAGCATGCGGTGACGCTCCGGGAGCCTCTTGGAGGCATCTTGGGGCCACCGTGAGGCCCTCCTTGGGCCACTCTTTGGATGTCTCTGGGGGCCCTCTTGGGGGCTCTGGAGGCTCTCTCGGGGCCGGCTTGGAAGTCTTGGGGGTCATCTTCAAGGCCAGCGATGATGATGATGCTGCTGCTGCTGCTGCTGATGATGATGATGATGATGATGATGATGAGGAGGAGGAGGAGGAGGAGGAGGAGAGGAAGGAAGAGGAGGAGGAGGAGGAGGAGGGAGCAGGAGGAGGAGGAGGGAGGCGGAAGGAGGAGGAAGAGGAGGAGGAGGCGGAGGAGGAGGAGGGAGGAGGAGGAGGAGGAGGAGGAGGAAGAGGAGGAGGAGGAGGAGGGAGGAGGGATGGAGGGAGAGAGAACGAGGAGGAGGAGGAGGAGGAGGAGGAGGAGGAGGAGGAGGAGGAGGAGGAGGAGGAGGAGGAGGAGGAGGAGGAGGAAGTGGAGGAGATGGGGGGCGGCGGCGCCTGGGTCAGGCTTCCCACCCCCGTCGGGGGCCCTCCGAGTCGCCTCTTTTGGGACCCTCTATCGGGGCGTTCTCGGGTGCGCTCCTTGGCGCCCTCGAGGGCCCCTCGTGGGCCCATCATTGGGGCCATCTCGAGGCCCCAGGGGCCCCTCGGATGCGAGCATGCGAGACGGCGGCAAATCACATTGATCTTCCATGGGTCAGGGGAATGATTTTGGCGTCTCGGGGGGCGGGGCCCATTTGGAAGCGAGCATGCGAGACGGCGGCAGATCACATTGATTTTTCTTGGGTCCTCCTCCTCCTCTTCCTCCTCCTCCTCCTCTTCCTCCTCCTCTCTGTGGTCACTTGGAGCCGTCTTGGGGGGTCTTAGGGCTTTTGGGAGGCATGCTGGAAAACGCCATCTTGCCCCATCTCGTGCCATCTTGTGCGGTCTTGGGGGCCATCTTGTGCTAGCCGGGCCCTCTTGGGGTCTTCTTGGGCCATCTTGGACGCTCTGACCGCTCGCGAAACACCCCCTCCAGGCACAGGGAGAGGGCGAAGGGGGAGAGGTAAACCTCTCACCCAAGGGGATGAGGAGGATGGACGAACTAACTCCTTAAACCACCTTCGCCCAAATCGCTGGTGTGATTCCTCGAGCGCTCCTCTTGCACCGAGGCGCTTTTTGGGGCCAAAGGGGGGCGTCGTTCCTCATTCCGCGATGCTTGTCTGGAGGCCGACAGGGGGGGGTGGTTCCTCATCCAGCGATCCGTATGACAGCAGCTTGGCTGTACACCACCACCTTGCCTGCCCATGGCCATCCTGGGCCCCGGCGTGGTGCGTACATCGATCCTCTGGGCCTCGGACCGGAGGGCGCATACACCGCGCCAGGGCCCAGGATGGCCCTGGTCAGCCACGGTGGTGCTGCATAGGTGCCTTCTGTGTATTCCTTCCGTGCTCCCTGCATCGTCTGGCTCTCCGCCGCTTCTGCTTCCCCTCGCGCTCTCGTGCCTATGCTGCGCTCAGTCTCGCCTGCGAGGCTCCGCACGTCGGGCTGCGTCTCCGATGGGTCGTGCACATCCCTAGGCGGATGTTTGTTAGCGTTGACTCTAAACAGTGAGTTGTTGCATTCTTGACATGCAAGCTACGTGGTGCAAGCAATGTGGTGCAAGCTATGTGGGCAAGCCGCGTGGTGCAAGCTACGTGGTTCAACCTTTGTGGTCTAAGCTAAGTGGTGCAGGCAATGCCATGTACGATATGTGGTGCAAGCCAGGTGGTGCAACATATGTGGTGTACGCTATGACCGGACGCTGCGGTTCGATCCGGCCCAGACGCGTGCCCGCCTCCCCCCACCGGGGCCTCCCCAGTGGAGCGCCCGCCCTGCCCCCCCGTCCTGGAAACGCGCAGTGTCAAGGGGGTCACCACCTCCTCCTCCTCCTCCTCCTCCTCCTCCTCCTCCCGTAGCTGTAGCTGTTGGCTTCAGTGTTCGTCTCCTCCTCCTCCTTCTCCTCCTCCTCTGCCTTCTCCTCCTTCTCCTCCTCCTCCTCCTCCTCCTCCTCCTCGTCCTCCTCCTCCTCCTCCTCCTCCTTCTCCTCCCACCTCCTCTTCTAAATCAAGGATCGAGGATGGGGGGAGGATCGAGTGTCGAGCATGTTCTGATCGCTCTTGTGGTCTTTAGTGGCCCTGGGGTGTCTATGGAGGGTCCAGGGGCCGACCCCCTTAGTTCACCGAGCGCGTTCCACTACTCGCAAACTGCCTACTCGCTCATGTACAAAAAGCGCATGCTTGTCTCGAAGTAATGGATCGTAAATTCGCCGCGGCGGATCCAGGCCAGCTGCGAGTGGTTACTTTGCGAGTAGTGGAGCGCGGTTGTCCCTTCCTGGGGACCGCCCCCTTGGAAGGAAGTGCAAACGTGGATTAAGGCGTGCGTGTCAGCGCCGGGTCCAGTTTCGGTGCAGAACCGGCGCGCTCCGTCCCCAGAGATCCGACGCCCCGAGAAAATGGGAGCGGCGGGGTTGGGTGTATTTTCGGCCTCCGGGGGCCCTCGCCGGGCCTCGGGACCGTCCACAAACGACTCGGGGCGAAACTCCAGCCCTGGGGAAGAGCCCCATGAGCCCTATGACCGCTGAGAACCCCTATGAGCCCTATGAGCCCTGTGAGCCCCATGAGTCCTATGGGCCTTGTGACAGCTATGAGCCCCCGCGCATTAGAAACACTGGAGCGGCCGGATGTCTGGGTCGCCAAGTCAGGCGGCGTGGGCTCCATGTGCCAGGTCCACGGTTCCGCAGTCCGTGCTGGCGTGCGCCCGACCCTCGGCTTTGCCCTGTGTGGAAGAGCCGTCTCCTTCGCCAAGCCTGCCTGCCGTCGGGAGGCTTGCCAGGAGCTTCCAGAGGAGAGGCGTGGCCCTTTGACAGAGCGCTCCTCCCCCCTTCCCTTCGAAGAAGAAACAACAACATAAGCATAAACTTGTGGCGCCCCGCGCGGATTTCTTGGATCCGCGTTGGACCCCCCCAGCGGCGCCTCCTGCGCCGCCCCTGGTGTGCCGTGTGCTCCGCGCGCCAGGGAGGGGGGTTCAGCGCAGATCCAAGAAATCCGAGCGGAGCGCCAAAAGTTTATGTTTGTGCCGTTTTTTCTTCGACCCCTGCCTCCTTCGAAGGCCAACCTCGCCGGTTTTCACTGCTGCTGCTGCTTCCCGCTCCGCGGAGTGCACGTCTCGAAGGTGCAGAGTGTGTGCGCTTGGGCTCTCCTGGGAGCCTTTGGGAGGGAGGCCTCCTGGGGCCTGTTGGGAACATCTTGGGGTTGCCTGGAGGATGCTCGGGGGCTTGTTAGGGGCTTTTTGGGGCGTCTCGGGGGCGTCTTCGGTCGTCTTGGGGCGCCCTTTGGCCGCCCCAGCCCTTTGGCACATTCCTCACACGCTTCGTGGTCCCATGGGGATCTCCACCGAAGGCCGCACATTCAACCCGCATGGTAAGGATGAGCGACTTTGCAAGGCTACCCTTGCATCCTTCCCCTTCGGCCCATCCTTGGCCGTTTTCGCTGGCCGCGCCCCGCTCGCAACGTGTCGACATGGCCTTCTAAGACCCTTGCGTCCTTGTCGTGCGTCCGTACCACACGGGTTGACTGTACTGGCAAAAATCTTATCACAAGAGAGACATGCTCTGCGGTACTCGCAGTTGCACGCGGCTAGGTCCTGCGCCAGAGAGGGCAAGATGTGTATCCATACCCACTGCATCTTGGAGTCTCGGGGTCCCTTTCCAGAGAGTCCAAGACGCAGTGGATATGGATACAAATCTTGCCCACAGCCAAGGCATTTTTTCGGGTTGGGCCTTCAAAGAGCGAGATGCCTCCAGGGGCCCTCTGGGAGGCCTCTGGGAGCCTCGGGAGGCACCAGTGGGCCGCCGGGGACCTGCTGCTCAGGGCCGCCCCCGATCCGATGCCAGGCGTCTCGATTCGCGGGTTGGGCCCGGGATTCGGACTCGATCCGATGCGGCTCGACTCAGCGACAGCGACGGGCCCACCGGAGATGGGCGCGGTGATGCGAGTTCGATTCGATCTTTGGACGGTTCGTGGGCGATCCGCTCCAGTTTCTCGGCGGCGAGCGAGGGGGGAAGTGAGAAGGAGAAGGCCTTCTCAGAAGGCGTCGTGGCTTCTCAGAGGCCCCCCGGCCTTCTGAGAGAAGTTTTCCATGTCTTCGGGGAGGAGGCTCAGGACATTTCTCAGAAGGCCGTTGGGGACCTCCGAACCTTCTGAGAAGGCCTTCTCTTTCGCCCTTGCGAGGGCGACATGCACGTTCGCGTGGACGGCTGGCCATTTCGGCGGCCGACGCACGGGCGGCGCACGGGCGACGAATGCGCGACGCTCCCCTTGTCGCGAAGGGGGGGGGTTCAGCACGCCGGTCGTATTACTGGGCCTGAACATTCGCACCTACCCCCCCTCGCTCGCCGCGGACAGACATCCGGCCGCTCCAGTCGTTCTCCTGCGTCGGCCCGGAGGTCTGGACCACTTCCCCCAGCAGGGCCGGTGTTTCGCCCCGAGTCGTCGTCTCACGGCCCCGACTCAACCCGAGCCCTCGAGAGGTGCCGGCGGCGCGCCAGGCGCCGAGGGGGGCCCAGTTTTGGGCGGCCTCGCCGTGAGGGCGTGCGCCGAGGCGGAGGGCGAGGCGCCCCCCCCCGCGGGGGCGGGGTTGGAGGCAGCGCTGGCAGTCGGTGGCGAGCCCAGGTCGAGAGGGATGGTGATGATGTTGATGATGCTGCTGCTGATGATGATAATGATGATAATGCTGATGGTGATGATGATGGTGATGATGTTGATGATGCTGCTGCTGCTGATGATGATGATGATAATGCTGATGGTGATGATGGTGATGATGATGATGATGGTGATGATGATGATGATGGTGATGATGATGGTGATGGTGATGGTGAGGATGAGGATGGTGATGATGGTGATGGTGATGGTGATGGTGATGGTGATGATGATGAGGATGAGGATGATGGTGATGGTGATGGTGATGGTGATGGTGATGATGATGAGGATGAGGATGATGGTGATGGTGATGGTGATGGTGATGAGGGGGAGGAGGAGACCTCGTGGTCCGGGAGCCCCTTCCCCGATCCACGTATCCAGCGCCAGCGGGCCGGCTGGGTCCGCGAAGCACTGATCCATATCAGCGGGTGTCCGACCAGGGGGGAAGTGAGAGGCCTCCTCCTCCTCCTCTTCCTCATCCTCTTCCTCCTCCTCCTCCTCCTAATCCCCCTCCTCCTCCTCGTCCTCCTTCGCCTCCTCCTCCTCCTCCTCCTCCTCCTCCTCCTCCTCCTCCTATCTCCCCATCCCTCCCTTCCGCTAGGTCGTCCGAGGGGGCGCGAAGGGCAGGCCTGCTCGGGAGGCGGCGGGGCTTCTCAGAAGCCCTCGCGCCCTCCGAGGTGCCGCCTGCGGCTTCGGAGGAGGCCTGCCCTTGGCTCGCCGTCGAGACAGGGGGGCTAGGATCGAGTTTCGAGGTTTTCGGACGTCCTCGTCGGTCCTCGGCGGTTTTCCAGCTCTGCGGCTCCGGAGGAGGCCTGCCCTTGGCTCGCCGTCGAGACAGGGGGGCTAGGTTCGAGGTTCGAGGTGTTCGGACGTTCTCGTCGGTTTTCCAGCCTCAGGGTGCTCTCCAGCAGCTGCGCCTCGCCGAGTGGCGTCTGCCCAGATCGTCCCGAGCGGCCGCCAGAGATCCGAGGTGTGGCCCGAAAACCGGACGACGAGGATCATTGGGGTGGATAGGTTCAGGGGGGATGCATCGATCCGGAATCGCCCAGTCAAGGCGGACTGGGGCCTGACTGCCCACTTCGACAAGGACAACGTGCGCTTTCGCTATCGGCAGTCCGTCTCCTCTTTATCGGCGATGTATCGCCGATTCCAGGTCGATGTTTCCCCCCCTTAGCCAGCCCCCCCTCCTGTCGTTCCACCTCGGTGGGGCCCCAGAGCGCTTCGACGCGAAAAGTCACGACGGAAGGTTTCTGGCAGTTTTCGGCCTTTGGGTGCCCTGGGTTTCTCGGGTTTCGATGATTTTGCGATGGAGGGTGAGACGTTCCCACATCAAGGGTCAATGGACGCCCTGGGGTTCCAGGGTTGGGCTTCTTGTGGAAAGTTTCTTGTGGACGGGCCCCTACTGTACCTTCAGACCCGGAGATGCTCTCGGGCATCTGCGTCGGGTCCTGCGGGTCTTCTTGCCTTGAGGTGCGCTCCAGCAGCTTCGCCTCGAGAGCGGCCCGGGTGCCCAGATCGTCTGGAGCGGTCGCTGGGGACCCGCTGCTCTATGGGCCTCCCAAGTGGGGTCCGAGCAGAGGGGGTCAGTGAATCGCACCAGATCGCCGATGCGTCTGGGATGCAGCTCGTTGTGGAGCCCGACCTTATCCACGCCGGCGTCGCCGATGCATCGCCGACGTCGCCGACGCATCGTTGATGCATCGTCGATGCATTGGCGATGCAGCGGCGATGCGGCGCGATCCTCCGACTCCATCTGCTCGGACCTCATCTGGGAGGCCTCCAGAGTTACATCCCCAGGACGGCAGTTTTTCCTCTTGGGACTGGAACGACGGCTTCAAGTCTTCAGCAGACGCGCGTGAGATAACCGTCGTCGGATCCCATGAAGTTCGTGTGGATCCAAGAGTGGCTTTTGTGTTTGTTTCGGGGGATCCGATTTCCGTCCGCGCGGATCCGATTTCGGATTTGATGGATCCGTGTTCGATCTTATTTCGGATCCGATGTTTCCCCCGTTTTCAATTTATATGCTTACATTAAAACGGGGAACCAGAGGAAATCGGATCCGCGGACCCCAGAACCTGCCCGTGTTAAGATTCTACGGGGGAAGGGGGGCTCGGTCACTAAATCCGAAGTCATCATCGCCATTTGCACCTCAAGAGGACAATTTTTCGTCTTGCGTAAGTATTCGGCGGCGAGCGAGGGGGGGAAGTGAGAAGGAGAAGGTCCTCTCAGAAGGCGGCGGGACTTCTCAGAAGCCCTCGCGCCTTCTGAGAAGCTTTCTTTGTCTTCGGGGAAGGCTCAGAAGACTTCTCAGAAGGCCCGGGGACTTCCGAGCCTTCTGAGAGGGCCCGCCCCTCATCCCTTCCCCCCCTCACCCGCCGCCTAAGTTCGCAGGCCTAGAGATTGACACCAACACCAATATCGGCGGTGTGCATCCACCGAGGGAGGAAGATCCCGATCTCGGTGCTGGTGGTAATATTCTGGCTTCCAAGGTGGCCGAAATATTGCCACCAGCACCGAAACCGAGGATCGCCCTCCCCCTTGTGGAGGCAGCCCCTTGTGTTGGTGTTGGTGCACATTTCTAGGCCTCCAATGAGTATGACCCGCAGTGGCTCACCCCATGGCGCTCTCGTCCTCCTCCGGGCGATGGAGGAGGAGGGACCGGGCGATGGAGGGGGGCGCGGAGGAGGAGGAGGAGGAGGAGGAGGAGGAGGAGGAGGAGGAGGAGGAGGAGGAGGAGGAGGAGGAGGAGGAGGAGGAGGGGAGGATGGGGAGGGGGAGGAGGAGGAGGAGGAGGAGGCCGCAGTGGCTCACCCCATGGCGCTCTCGTCTCGCCCGGGGCGGGCCCCGAGGCCCTCGCGGAGCCACCGGGGGGCGCGGGCCGGAGGAAGGCGTCTCGTCTCGAGCCCTGTGGTCTGGGCCCCCGCGGCGGGGGCCGCGGGCGGGCTCGCGGCGAGGCAGGTCTCGGTGTGGTTGCGTCGGGCCTGTCCCCCTACGTACAGGCGGAGTGCTCAAATGTAGTCCGAGAACAGTCAGGGGGCGAGTTTTGGAGCACTTTTTGCTCCTTCTGGGGTATGCTTTCACCATGTTCTGTTTTTCGTCCAGGATCCTCTGCAGGAGGACATGCCCGACCGAACGGTATATTATGGGAACGCGTGGCTGTCGCTTTCCTACAGTTCGCTGTGTCGTGTTCGCTCGACCCAGTCGCAGATTGGACATGTAGGAAGGTGTGGTTCGTGATTTCCTGCAACTTGGTTCCCAACATCACCGTTGAGCAACATCGCCGTTAGCCTGGCCTTGCCGCGATTTCTCGCGGCGTCGCGCTTTGTCGCGACGTCGGATATCTTAGGGTGCGCCGTATACCCAACCGCTTCATTTTCTGAGCGCGGCTTCCTTCACTGGCCGCCCTCCCTTCGTTTCCAGCTGCGCAGGTGTTCGAGTCGGAGGGCACCACTATAGGCCTACGCCGATCCTTTTCGGTAGCAAATCATGGGAGGCTGGTATACCCTCTTGATTGCGTCTTTAGCGTCGATTCGCGTCGGTTAACGTCTGGGAGTCGATGATATAGCTCCGAAGTAGTGTCGGTCAGCGTCGATTTAGCGTCGGTTTAGCGTCGATCAGCGTCGATTTAGCGTCGACTAGCGCCGATTCGCAAGAGCCGACAAGATGGTGTGGGAAGCTCCCATGAGTTGCCACAGGAGATCCTGTTCAGGCTGCTCCTAGGCCCAGGATCGATGTAGATGCATTCTGTCCAAGGCAGGAGGGCGTATACACCGATCCTGGGCCCAGGGTGATCCTGGCCAGGATCGGGGCCTTCCTGTCGAGGAAGAGAGTCGGCCCCGAAGCTGGCCGCCACTGGTGTTTTCGGCGGCGAGCCCGGGGGGAACCTTGAGAGGGAGACCTCGCGCCTTCTGGGAAGCCCTGCAGGCCCTCTCCGAAGCCGCGGGCGGCCTCCCAGCGGGCGCGAGGGCTCCCGAGACGCCCCGCCTCCCTCCGGGAAGGCCTGCCTCCTCTCGCCTCGCCTCCCCCCCCCCCCCCCCCCCCCCCCCCGGGCTCGCCGCCGATCCTGGCGTCTCCCGTGCCCGAGGGCTCTTGCGCCTGGGCGTGCTCACCAGCTCCCGGCGCCTGGGGCCGCCTGCGCGCACCCCTCGCGGCCGACGCGCTGCGGCTCGGGCCGCCTCCTCCCCTCCCTGCCCTCCGCGGCCGCTCGACGCGGACCGCCAGGGCTGGCGTGCTCTCTGCCGTTGACGCGTGTCTTGCCGTCCAGTGCTCCATTCTCCCTGCAGTGCTTCGTCGGGCCAGAGTCTCTGGGCTGCTGCTGTTGAGCACAGCTTCATGCTCACGCCACCGCTCGACGACGACCGCGGCCGCCCTCTTCATGTCCACCCGCGCTGGCGTGCCCCAGCTCGGTGCGCCCCGCTGGCTTCCAGACGCGCTGCCGACCCCCAGCGCCGAAGTCAGGCAGTATCGGGAAGGCCTTGCGGCCGGTGCAGCCGACTCTGAAGGGGGACGACGCTGACGTGGGGCTGAGTCCTCAGGGAGCTCAGGCAGTATCGGGAAGGCCTTGCGGCCGGTGCAGCCGACTCTGAAGGGGGACGACGCTGACGTGGGGCTGAGTCCTCAGGGATGTTTCGCGTGGGGCCTTTCCGGTGCGCGCTCGTAGACTTCTGGGGGGCGGTCTTGTGGCCTCTGGGGGGCATCTTGGGGGCGTCTTTGGCAGCCTCCCAGGGGGTTTCCTTCGGGCTTCCTGGGGGCTTCTTGGGGGGCTCTTGGGGCAGTCGAGTCGTATTCGAGGGCTTGCGTTGTCGTGGAGTGTGCCGCCAGCAGATCTCGGCCCTGCTGTGGGACGCACCTTGGTGTTCGTTCTGGGCCAGGGGCGACGCGGAGCAGCGTCGACCTCCCCGCGCGAGGCGTGCGCCCTCCTCTCGCTCGGGGGCGATCTCTCGAGCCAGGTGCGCACCTGATCGCCGATTGGGGCCCGTTCGAGGTTCGAAGCTCGAGGTTCTCAGACATCTGCGTCGATTCTCGGCGGCTTGTGTTCGTTTTCGTACTCATTGTTTTGCCGATCCGCGCGGGCCCTCGCCCCCCCCCTCCCCCCCCCATGGAGTGGATCTTGGCTGTTTTTTGGGCCCGTGTCAAGCAGGTGGAGTGTCCCCCACAGGACGCACTGTTGCAAACAGTCGCGCCAAGCAGAGGTCCAGAGCCAGACCCGCCCCACTCCCCACCCTTCCGTCCAATGCCGAAAGGCCGAATAAAAAACCCTCACCTTTCCAGCCTCGGGGTGATCTTCAGCGGCTCTGCGCCTCGTCGAGAGAGCGTTTCGCGGGATGGGTGCCACGGGATCACCCCGAGCAGCCGCTGGAGAGCCGAGTCTTGTGGCCCGAAAGCCATGGGGCAACGCCCGGTGGGGGATAGGCTTAGGGGTCATCGAGAACAAAGGAACCCCTAGCCCTATTAGCACGGTTGAGACGTGTCCTTACTTAGGTCCCCGTCTTCGCAGTAGGGATAATACATTTGGGCGGTTTGGTTTGATACATCTGCAGAAAAGGCCCTTTGTCCCTAATGCTTTTAGCCCTCCTAACTTAGTTCCCTCCCAAAGGGTTAGGGGGTCCTTTTATTGCTTGTCAAGGAGAGGGACGTATCGACCCCCAATCGCCCATTCGTCGCCGATAGGGGCCTGATAGCCCCAGCCTGCCCATGAGCGTGTGGGATTCGCTGTCGGGGGCCTATCGCCGATCTATCAGCGATGTATTGCCCATTCAAGCTCGATGTGTCCTCCCCTGAGCTGGTCCCCCCCTCTATCGTTGCCCCGCATCTCCAACCGATTTGCGGGGATCGAGCCAAATACACCGAGGCAGATCTGCGTAACTCGCGACGCATATCTAAGCAGATCGAGGTGGATCCAGAGATGTCCAGATAAGCCTGGAGCAAATCCTGGGAGCTCCCGCGCGAGTCGAGGGACAGTAGGAGTTTCTTTTGGGGGGGTCCTGGCTAGGGAGGGGTGATCTTGTGACCAGGGCCATGACACCTGCCTGGACTTCACGGCGGCGCTGCTTCTTCCGGCGCGTCCCCTGGTCTCCCCCTCGTCCGCGCCTGTGCTTCGGGCCGTGCTTCGGCGGCGAGCGAGGGGGGGAAGTGAGAAGGGGCGGGCCTTCTCAGAAGGCTCGGGGGTCCACCAGCCTTCTGGGACATCTTCTGAGCCTTCCCCGAAGACGCAGCAAACCTCTCAGAAGGCCCGAGGGCTTCTGAGAAGTCCCGCCGCCTTCTGAGAAGGCCTTCTCCTTCTCACTTCCCCCGCTCGCTCGCCGCCGACCCCTATTGGACGCCCTTCTCGGGGACACTCCCCCTTTGGACGCCCCCGATTCCAGGAGAGGCACGGCGAAATCCCTCTGCCCCCCAGAGTCAAGTCGGGCATGCCCCTCTGCAGAAGGAATGCTCAAGACAAGCCCGCCTGTAGGAGGACATGCCCGACCTGGCCCCAGTGGAGGCCCCCCCCCCTGGACGCTCCCCCCTTTTTGGGACGCCCCCGATTCCAGGAGAGGCACGGCGACCTCCCCCCCCCCTCCCGCCCCCCGAGAGGTGTGGGCGCGGCTTGGCCCCGGAGACCGCCACCGGCGGTGCAGCTTCGCGGTGGCGCTGGAGGAGCTCTCGCCCGGGCCCGAGACCGGGGGCTCCAGCGGGCGGCGGGAGATCCCCCCCGAGCATTCGGGCGAGTCCATCTTTTCGAGCCGGGCGTTTGCGCTCCATGTTTCGGGCCCAGGGGCCCTCACAGATCGATGCGGCTCGAAAAATGGCGCGGAAGGATGGGGTCCAGGGGTCCGGTCGCGATCTTTGGCGATGCTGCAGTGTCTCGGCAACATCGGATCTCAGGGTCCGAAGAGGAGGGGGGCCCCGACAGCCTCTCGCTGCGAAACGTTCACGATGGAGAGTCTTTACCCCTTTTCTGCCCCCGGGGGGCCCTCACTGGGCCCTGGGACCGCCAACAAAAAGACCCGGAGTGAAAAGCCAGTCTTGGGGAAAAGGTGCATACCTTTGGAGAGCCACGTTGCGAACAAAACCACGAGGTCGGATGTGTGGGAAGCATAAGACGGGTCCGCTTTGACCCGATCGATCCGTTTCGATATCGATTCCGGCCGGCTCGATCCGATGCCCACGTGGGGTCCGAGCAGATGGGGTCGGAGGATCGCGCCGCATCGCCGACGCGTCGGCGATGCGGC